CAAATGCCCTCAAAGTAGCCTAAGGATTGTGCCCTAGTAGACCAAAAGCTTTTCTCCATCGCTCTCTCATTATCTCTCTCTTTTTCTTCTGTTTTTGATCTGTTTTCGCATATGATAAGTACAGATTTTGCACGTGCGCCGCTGCGCACTGACTCGCCCGCTACAGCGCATGGCACAAAAAGCCCCATGAAATTTTAAGCTTCTTTCCGTGCCATGGCTTGCTTGAACCTTGACCTAGCCCTCTTCTAAGGCTGTCCAAGGATCCAAAAATCATATTAGTCTCCATAAATCTCACTAAATAATAATTTATCTAAATTGACCAAATTACTCTTTAAAACCCTAATAATTACTAATGAAAAAATTTATGATGTTATAACGCAAGATCAAGGTTTGAGTTTTGCGCTAAACAAGTAAATTTTTGGGATAAGTTGTTGAAGTGCTAAGAAAGATTGTGTTGACCACATATGTGTGTGGTGGCTTCCTTTCTATTGGCACAAAATGGCAATTTTTCCTTAGTTTCATGCTTTTTTTTATGCCACTAGCTACAATTTTCTCCAAAATTTCATTCAGTTTTCGTTGTTTTTAAAGTGGTGGATTAGTTCTTCTTCTTATCAAGTAACTACCTCTCCTCTAAAAAAAATTGATGTGAGCTTGGGCTAAAATTACTTCTTTAGGCCTAAATAGTTGAGCTTGAGGCAAAACTCACATGTTAACCCAAATACACTTACAGCATTCTTTTTTTTTTTTTTGAATGAAAGATCACATTTCATCAAACCATAAAGGAAACTATTAGAAACACACACCCACAAATTCTAAATTTTATGGGTCAAAGCAAAAACATCAACATACGAGAATGATAAAGATAGTAAAAGAAGAGCACGCTAAGCTTTTAGAAGATGGGCTTTACAACTACACATGAAAAAAAGCCCAACTGAAAACAAGAGACTAATGAACCTTGCGAATTGTGAAAAATGACTACAAAGATACAAAAAAAGACTTATGAAATTATATATAGATATTTTATAAGAAAAGTAATATCAAATAAACTTTCTAAATTAATAGTAGCACAAAAAGAACTAGAAATAATGAAATAAATAAAAAATCTAAACCTTGAAAAAAAAATAATTGAAAATAAAAAATATTTTAATTACCAAAATATACATACATAAGTTTTTTAATTTGTAGAAAACAGAGCTAAGCCCACACAATATCATTCACTAATATATAAAACGAGGGACTGAATTCCCCACAGAATCTCTATATAACAAAGAGAGAAGCTTCCTAGGTGACATCTTAAGAGTAAGACAAGTGTCAAATTAATTCACATACTTTTCTTAGCAAGCCAATCTGTCTATTACCCTCACTAATCCCAATTTTAATCACAACATCAACATTTCTATCAAGAAAGATTAACACCATGCTTGAGCTGCAGTAGTCAATTTGTCCTGATTTGAAAGAAAAGAAATATATTTAATTAGGTGCTTAGCCTTATATATTTAATGTACTTTATCTAATAAAATCAAAACAATTATATTTTAATGTGTTAATAATATTAATAACAATAATTTATTATATAATAAATAATCTATAAATGATATACATATCTTGATTTAATTGAAAATAAGTATTTTAAGTATATATAGCCAAGCATATAATTAAGTTTTTTCCTTATTAATATTAGTTAACTAATTACATTCATTTATCATGTATATGAACGACATGCATAATATTATTTGCATGTTGCTCTTTAATCTACATATTCACACTTACTTTTACAATATAATCCTAATTATATTATAAATAACAAGTATGATCATGATTTTTTTTTCCGCATATTTGAGTTATTTTTTTTTCTTGCATTGCTGCACATTTACTTCTTATATAATATTCTGATGTCTCAATCATATGATGATTTAATATACCCTCACCGTTGTGAAACTAGTAACATAAAAAAAAAAAGATAATAAAAAAGAAAAGGAACCGTACAACAAACGAACAAAATGGAGGAAAAGTGATGCCCCAATTTAATGACGTCATTCAGTGCCATATCATAAGTCAAGCAAACTCAGCGTCCCACGAATTTTCCTGAAGCAAATGAAAGTGGATTGTTAGGTGCTTAAGTGTGAGTGAATTTAAATTTTTTTATATCGATTAAAATTAAATTTAATAAATAATATATAATAAAAAATAATTTATAAATTTAAATTTTAAAATTTAAATTAAAATATGATATTTATTTTTTCTTTCCCTCATTGCTGGGCACTGTTTGAAACCCGACAAAGCTAGGCTGACGTTGATTGCTTGTGCAGTGACTTAGCATTTGGGTGTATTTAATATGAAGAACTTGTGTATTTTACCTTTAAGAGAAAAAATTATTATATTGTTCATGCATTAGTAGATTTAAGATAATATGAGATTCTAGGCAATCATTCTCGATTAAAAAAATCTGAAATAACTAAGATCCAACTATTTTTGCTCAATTTTCTTTTTGTCTTTTTCTTTTCCTGATCCAGATCGTCCAGCCTTGATGCATGCATTGTCTAGTTCCGAGCCTTGTCGAGGTCAATCACAGCCATCAATGGCACGTTTTAAAAATATTAATTTAAAATTTCTCCTCCGATCATCATTTTCCTCCTCCGTCTGGCTTTTTGCGTGCAGGTTTCATCTTCCCTCTAATGCAACAAAAATCGTAGATGCGAGAAGTTGAAAAAGTCATGGCTTTTTTGACTAAATAATCAATACCTCCAATTTAGTGAGAGAAACATTACCTTCTTCAATATACAAAATATTCTCAATAATCAATATTTTTAATTTAAAATTAATTTTTTAACTCAACAGGAAGATAAAACAAAAGCTAAATAGTTTCTTCCTAAAAAAATTGGATAAGACTTGATATAGATAGCTCTATCAAGGAGCTGCTTTTTATGGTGGTCTTATTCGAGATAACCATGACAATTAGATTAAGGACTTCTCTAAATTTTTTGACTACCATCTTAGTATAGCAGCCGACCTTATGGACATTCTTGAAGGATTCAGTATTTGCTAGGCTGAGAAGTTTAATAGAGTCAATGTCTATTCGGATTTTAGTGAAGCAATTGTGCCCATACGCAATGAGCTTTCTATTATTCATCCACTTGCTGCAATTATTAACAAAGTCAGAGATCTTCTTATGTATAATTGGTCAATCACTTTTGATTACGTTTTCAGAAAGACTAACAAATGCGCAGATTGAATGACCTATTAACCTTTCCTGACAACTCAATTGTTCATATTTTTAATAGTCTACCTTTTGATTATAATAACTTTTTATACGTTGATATGACTTAATATATCTATCTACACAATTTTTTCATAGCCTTCTAATTAAAAAAAAAAAGGGTCATAGCTTTGGCGTGTGTGGGTGTGTGTACCGATTCCTCTACCTTTTCTTTCCTTATGTCTTCTTATAATCTCTTTTCTTTTACCCCACTTCCTTTTTCTTCATGCCTTTTCCTTTATTCGTCCATGTTTTTAATCCCTTTTCTTTTATTCTTCTTTTTGGTCGCTGGTTTTTTCTTCCTTTTTAATTTTTTCCAACAAGCCAGTGAATTGATTGACCCAATGGGGTTGGCCAGTCTTTTAGGTTAATTGGGCTAAACCTGTTGGCGATATGAAGGTAAATTGTGAGCTGAGTTATTTGAGTCATGTCAAGGGACATTATTTTTAAGAACTATTTTGACACACCAGGATAATAGACCAGTAGTTTTTCAAAATTAAACAAGCACTTCCTGTACAAGCAAGGCATCAAAATAGCAAGCACTAACGGGAAACAAACTCAAGTGAAGAACAAGAACACAGGAGAAGTTGGAGGAGGAGAGAAATGCCCCAAAAGCTCAAGAGGTTGGTGTCTAGTTTAGGCCGCATGCATGCCTATATATAGGCCAAGATCTTGGATGAATGTTGGGCAACATTTACTAGATTAATTTATCAGTTACACAAAGACAAACGTTGGGTAGCATTACATTTATTAGATTAATTCATCGATTATACAAACATAAAAATCATGTAAACAATTGCCTGAAGACATTGGTGGACAAACACGTTTAAAGAATTTATTCATTCGTTTCAAGAATTTGTTTTAATAGCCAAAAAATGTTTACGATTTGAATTCAAACTCCAGACAGCTAAAAAATGAAGTTTCCAGTAGGCTCAAAAAATAAATAATTTTTTTATTTTTTATAAAAATAATCTAGTAAAAAAACTCAATGACTCTTGAACTCGCGTGCAAAGGGGTGAATCAATTGATTTCAATTACAATTACCCTAAATTGGCTTATTTCGTGTGCATGAACCCACTTTTTTTCCAAACTCATTTTACTAATTTATTTCATTCCTTAATATTTATACACTAAAAGTACTCTTCATTTAGGTAATGTGAGACTTCTTTTAACACACACATTCAATTACCACAACAAAACCATGTTACTGTAATCCTGGTTTGCTTCCTTGATCAGACCAACTAAAGAACTGGCTCATGGGTATACTAGAGTGGTTCGATTTAAATATAATGATTCCTTGTATAGTATAAGTTACATGACAATCAATCACTCATGACAAAATACAACACAAAATACAACTGTGAATGTATAATTTGCAACATTCAAGTTGCTTAACATAAGACTCATAACAATAATATATCTTATTTGAAAGACGACGGTCTTAATAGCTTCACACCATGACACTTAAAAACCTTATTAAACTTGCAAGCTGTCTATGATTTAGTATTTTTTTATTTCAAAAAAAAATCTTTGTCGTGACATATTTAACCCCTAAACAAAAGCATCACTGCTCATAGAAGTTTAAAAGAAAAATTCATCTTAAAAAATTAACTTTTTAAAAACCCCCCACAGTACTTACGAATCATATTTATCTTGCAAGATCCCAAAATAAGACTCATCACAGTATATATTAAAGCAAGACCCTAGAATATATAATTTGCCATAGTTGCCGCAACCAAAGACCCTAGCAGCTAGTTATGTTAAAGTCGGGGCTTGCCACAATGTAATCTGCAACGACCTTGAAGAGCTGTTCCCCCCTCATCTTGCCTCTCTTGACCAGATCCTCCGCTGGCGGTGAGTTCCCTTTTGTATGGTATTTGATGACGAAATTCACGATGGATCCGCCGTCACAGCCTCCCACCACCTTCGTCTCAAAGCACACCTTCTCCAAGCTTTCTGGAAATTTATTTCCTCCTACTACGCTGTAATTGTATCTAAGGTTTGCCTCATCAATTTCATCTACTTTGTGTAACACATCAATGGCGTTCCCTCCTGCATCCATCCATTAACATACATACATACATACATGCATGCATGCATGCATGCATCCTCTTGATTAGCAATTGATCGTGTTGATTTCCTTGATACTAACCTTGGCCAACGGAAGTGATTTTCTTGATGCTTCCAGGGCCTCCAGTGCCTTCAATGACTTGGACACTTTTAACGGAGGGATTAGCCTTTGGAAAGATGGTGTCGAATTGTTTTACAAAAGTGTTGTATAGTTTAGCAGGAGGTACCACAGAGACGGTCTCTGTCTCGTAAGTGAACACACCCATGATTTATGATAAACACAGGTCAAAGCACAGGCAGCATTGAGCTAGGGCTATGAGGTTTTGAGACGAAGAAGAAGAAGAAGATTTATCAGACTGTGTTGGGCGATTTTCTTAGGAGAGGCAGGGTATTTATTTATAGGCAATATAGGTGTGCGAAGTCATCACTAGGTATATTTCTTGGGGAAGAGGTTTCTACCTTTAAATTTGAAAAATCCCCAGTATAAAGATAGAATTTTTTTTTTGACCTGAATAGTATGATGATAGACTTGGACTATATATTGCTAGTAAAAAAAATAAAAAAATTAAAATATTTTTAATCAAATTTCATCTCTCAATAAAATAATTACTTACTTTTAAATTAATCATATTTTTATATTTATTCTTATTAAACACTCTATAATAAATATAAAGTTATTATCAATAGGAATACTTTGAAAAAAGGCAATGATTATACTTCAAAAAACTAAAAGTGTCTTATATTTTTGAACATCCAACTTTTAAAAAAATATTTTATATTTTTAAATAGAGGGAGCATGTATTAATCAAGTAATGCAACTTTAATTTACAATACCATATCTAATTAAGTTGATGGTCATGACGGGTCACAGAAAAGAGCTCCATATGTTTATTATAGAGTTAAAAGTTATTTTTGTCTCTCAATTTTACTTGATGGGTCATTTTATTATAGAGTTGAATATGGGTTAATTTTATCCCTTAATGTTAAAGATTTTCTCTCTTATTACTCTAATGTTAAAAATGCCTAACACTTGTTATCAGTGGATTTCACCATTTTTTTTAATATCTTATTATTATTATTTTTGATTGGGTTAAGATTCATTTTTGCCTCAAGGATCGTTAAGCACCCTCAACTTAATGTTTTGTAATAAAAAATATTAAAAAATTGTAATGTGAGATCCATTAATGATAAAGAGATTGTGAGAAAAAGACAAGTTAACGAGTGAGATAATCTATAGCGTTGAGAAACGGAATTGACCTAGTTTAAATTTAAAGTATTCAGTGACCTTTTAAATAAAATTTATAGATAAAAAATGACTTTTAACCTTTTATCCTAAAACCAACCAAATAAAAAATAACACCACAATATATGTCTATTCCAGAATCTGTTCGTATAGTTTCTTAATTTGCTTTAAATTAGCCATCGATGTAGACATTAGTACAAAAATGGCTTTTTACAGCGGTTAACGAGACGATGTTGTTCCAGGGGATGTAAAAAGTCTCTTTTTTTACATCGGTTATAAACCCGATATAAAAATTAAATTTTTTATATCGGTTATAGAGCCGATGTTGAAAGTTATATACAAGAAAATTAAAAAAAAAATTACTTTAACTTTTTACACCGGTTTCGATCCCAACCGGTGTAAAAAGTGCACCTTTTACACCGGTTGGGATTGGAACCAGTGTAAAAGGTACACTTTTTATACTGGTGGGATCGGAACCGGTGTAAAAGCTGCACGTTTTACATCGGTTGGGATCGAAACCGGTGTAAAAGATACACTTTTTACACTAGTTGTGACCATAACCGGTGTAAAAAATATTATATTCTACAACGGTTGTGGTAATAACCAGTGTAAAAAGTATTTTATTTTATTTTATATTATATTTATTTCATTGATTTTACCCATTCCTGTGCATAGAAATTGCCAAATCAGACAGCCCAATTAATTTACAATTGTTTATCAAGTATTTATCAACTATACAAAGCTATTTAACTATTAAAAAAACTAATAATTTTCTAAATTGTCAAAATTGCCATTCCTGTGCATAAAAATTGCCAAATCAGACAGCTCAATTCATTTACAATTGTTTATCAAGTATTTATCAACTATACAAAATTATTTAACTATTAGGAAAACTAATAATTTTCTAAATTATGTCAACTATCAAAATTAAAACATGTCTAAAAGTAACAAAAAACCTCACAAGTTCTCCACAAAATAGGTTGCCTAACGTATGCGGATGTCTTCAATTTCAACTTCAGAAAATGCATCCGAATTATCAAACATCTAAAATTTAATTCATAAAGTAGGCATATTAATCAATCTCAAATAACATAATAAAATAAAATTTTTAAAAATATATATATTTACCTCTTTTGTAAATTCGGTCATGCCTAATGTGATAATATTGAGCATGTGCCTCATGACATATAGACCGCACAAGTTCGTCCTCACCGATTGTCTATGACTCTATATAAGAACAAATCATAAAAAATTAGTAAGAAATCTTAATGGTTGAACATATTAATAAAGTATAGCATCACCTTTGCATCAAACATTTCCACACCTACCTCCCACAACGCTTTCAAATCTTCAATCAGAGGTTTTAGGTAAATATCAATATCATTTCCCGGTTGTTTTGGTCCCGAAATCAACATGGATAGCATCATGTACTTCCGTTTCATGCACAACTTAGGTGATAGATTGTAAATCACCAAAAGAACAGGCCATGAACTATGAATACTACTAAGACTACCATAAGGATTCATTCCATCGGTAGAAAGTCCAAGCCTCAAGTTCCTTGGCTCATTGCCAAATTCAGGAAACAATTGATCAATTTTCTTCCATTAAGGAGAATCGGCTGGATGTCAAAGTTTTCCATCAGATATTCTCTCATTTGCATGCCACATCAAGTTCTTTGCATCATTAGTATTTGCAAACAAACGCTTGAACCTTGGTATAATTGGAAGATACCATAAGACTTTTGTAGGAGCCCCCTTCTCTTTGTACCGTGGTGCCTTACATTTCGGACACTTCTCCTCCCCTTCAAGCTCTTTTCTGTACAACACACAATCATTAGGACATGCGTGTATTTTTTCATACTTCATATCCATTGGACACAAGATATTCTTAGCATCATAATAACGATTTGGTAGTAAATTGCCCTTCGGAAACATTATTTGAAGTAACTCTAACAACCATGTGAAACTTTGATCACTCCACCCAACTCTTGCCTTTAAGGTAACTAGTTTTAACACCCCAAATAACAAATTAAAATCAGTGCACCCCGGGTATAGAGGCTTCTCTGCGTCAGTGCACAAGTTATCATACACATTTGCTCGTTCAAAAGCCTCTTCCCCAACATCACGGATCATGTGCTCTAATCGATCTTCATTTATTTCTACTTCATCATCAAGATTATCAACTCCCACACATTGAGATGTGTTACTATAATTTTCCAATCGTTCACCATGCCAAATCCATATTGTATAATTTTTGCAAATCCCATCACAAACTAAGTGCTCTCTTATTTCGGGAACACCTAGTTTCCTTTCATTCAAACAATTAACACAAGGACAATAGAACCTTTCACTATTGTCAACAATATTTTTCTTAGCAAATTCCAAAAATTCTTTCACCCCATTATCATACTCGTCACTTGTTCATCTAGCATTCATCCAACTACGATCCATATGTCACCTCCTAAAGAATATAACTAATGTTATTATCTTCAAACTAGTTTAAAAAACTAAGTTCCTAATTAAATTAAGATTTGAAAAAATTTTGGCGGAATCTCCCCTAAAAATTGGATCTCTCAAGACTTTTAAAAAAAATTTACAAGAGAAAATTGACAATTTTAACCCAAATAAATGATCACATACAACAACCTGAGACCTTATGAAGCCACTAACAGCACTCCCAACAACAATCAATATCATTAAAAACTAAATTTAAAAAAATTAGAGGAAAGAATAAATTTAAAAAAAATTTCGACAGAGTCTCCCCTAAACATTGGACTTCCCAAAAGTTTTAAAAAATTTTACACGAGAAAATTAACAATTTTAAACCAAATAAATGAATCACATGCAACAACTTGAGGCTTTATGAAGCCACTAACAGCACTCCCAGCAACAATCAATATCATTAAAAACTAAATTTAAACATTATAAAATTTAAAAATTTATATTCAACACATACCTGGGTGGTGGTAGCTGCAGCAACGGCTCAACACTGAGAGGGAGGGAGAAGGAGTCGTGGAGGGGGGCAAGAGGGAGGGAGAGGGGCAGGGGGGCGGGAGAGTGAAGGGGTGGGCAAGGGGAGAGGGGGAGGGGGGGTGGGCAAGGGACGAGGGGGAGGGGGAAGGCCGAGGAAGGGGGAGTGGGAGGGGGACAGGCGGCGAGACGAGGGGGAAGGGATAGGCGGCCGAGGAAGGGGGAGTGGGAGGGGGAGGGGGAGGCGGGATGAGGGAGAGAAGGAGGGGGTTGGGCGGACCTAGGGGGAGGGGAAGGGGGCGGCCGGGCGGACCTAGGGGGAGGGGAAGGGGGCGGCGGACGAGGAGGAGGGGGCTGGGCGGACCGAGGGGGAGGGGGAGTGGGTGGCGAGGGGAGGAGGGGGAGGAGGCTCGGCGGACGGGTGGGAAGGCTGGGCGGATGGGGGGGAGGGCGGCCGGCGAGGGAGAAGACGAGGGGGAGGGGGAGTGGGTGGACGAAGGGGAGACGAGAGGGAGGGCACGAGGGAACTGATGAATGAAGGGAGAAATGAATTTAAAAAATATTTTTTACACCGGGTGTCCAGGCACCCGGTGTAAAAAGTATAGTTTTTACACTGGGTGCCTGGACACGCGGTGTAAAACACCGGGTGCCCCCACCCGTTGTAAAAAATATACTTTTTACACCGAGTTCCCCCACCTGGTTAAAAAGTATATTTTTTACACCGAGTGCCTGGGAACTCGATGTAAAAAGTATATTTTTTACACCTGGTGGGGGCATCGGTGTAAAAAGGACACTTTTTACACGGGGTGTCCAGGCACCCGGTGTAAAAACTATACTTTTTACACCGGGTGGGGGAACCCGGTGTAAAAAGATAACTTTTTACACCGGGTGCCTGGACACCCGGTGTAAAAAGTGTCACATAATTCACGATAATTATAAAAATGCCACCGCCTTTATTTTTTACACTGTTTGCCTTCCAACCGATGTAAAAAATATCCCATAAATTTTATATTTTGTACTAGTGAGAGATGAATCAACTATATATTGTCACTTGGTTTTCTGACTTTTCATTTCTTTAGCTTGTTTTTTTTTTAATTTCACTGTGTCTGATATTTTTTGATTCTATAT